CGTTTTACCTTAGGGAGATCCATGACTTTTTGTGGTGTTTGGTGAACTAAAGATATGTGAGTAGGGCGTTCAATCCTACGTCACACCCTCCAGCAAGTCTGGTGGGCCCCTACCTCCAGCAAGTCTGGAGGTCCCCTCATTGTTGGTCAGCGAGTCCATCGGACTTAGCCGGGAGGAACTTCCAAGCAATTTCCACCGACCATCCCCACATCCGCCACCCGTGGGACGTTCCCCATACGCGGTAATGAGCCCGCGCGAGGACATGAAGCTGTTTTAGAAGTTCTAATTTTTTTTATTTATTTTTTTATTAATGACATTGGATATTCCGTATAGCCAGCTAGAAATTTGAATTGAAAAATTTAAGACTTATTAAACTAAATATATTTTCTAATTGCTTTAAAATATTCTAGGGAGCAGGGTAGCTCAGTGGTAGGGTACTGAGCTTCCAATGCAAAGGTCCCGAGTTCGAACCCCGGCTCATGGCAGAAAATTTATTTATCTGTTTCATTGGCCGTGGGGCGACCTTGGGTCAGAAGTCCCTCCTGAGGCACACCCAGCCTCTATAAAGTGGGTACCCTTAATTAAATAATTAATTAAGGGGGAAAACCTGGCGGTTGAGCGTGATCTCGGTCAAATCACCTCCTTGCACAACCGTTGACCTAGAAACAGTGCTTTCCCTAAATAGTACTGAACCCCAGATCCTTCATGGGTTGTAGTGGTACAGGTTTTTTTTTTTTTTTTTTTTTTTTAAATATTCTACCACACTGCTTATCTGTTCACCACTGCTCAGAGATAGTATTTGTTTATAAGTAGTGTTCCTATTGTTAAGGGATTGGAAAAGTTTTCTTCTGTGATATTTGTAAGATTATATTACACATAATATTATAATATATTATGTGTAATAGAATTCCGAGACGTTCTCATGTTTCCCACTACTACGCCGAGTCAGGGTGGCTCTTTTCCTCCTTCAGAAGACAGTACTTCCTAGGTACATTCCTTTACCAAATAATCTATAATCATAGTCCGTCCTACGCATTCAATCTCCTTCAATTCAAGTCATCTATCCACTCCCTCTCCACAAGATCTTGTCCTTCCGACCTTTATACCCCTTTCCACAAATCGGCCTCATTTCAACACTCCTTTATTGTCCGATCCACCACATTTTGGAATTCCATCCCACTTAAAATCCGCCAAGCACCATCCCTATCCACATTTAAAACCCTCCTTTTCCATTTCCTCCTTACAATTCAATCAGACGCTGGGTAGCCTATTATTGTATTATTATACTATTATTGTATTATTTTATATATATATATATATATATATATATATATATATATATAATATATATATATATATATATATATATATATATATATATATATATATTGTACTGTTATTGTATTATTGTATATATATATTATGTATATACGATTATACTATTATGGTATCCTTCGAACATACTATTATTACTATAACATCTTATTATTATTATTTTTTTTTTCATTAATACAATGACATGACAACAAAAGTTATTTGTCGCTCATTTATAATTTCATAGCGTATTGTGTATAGCACCGGCCGGTATTGTGTATAGTGACCGATCCGGCTGACATATTGAATAAGTTTAAGGACCACTTTGACAATATTTTAAATACGGGAAATTATGATCTGTGTCCTCCTTCTGAGTACCAGAGTGCTGAACCGTTAATAGAAGGACCAAGTAAAGAGGAAATTGAAGTAGCTATCGGAAAATTAAAATCATATAAAGCAGCGGGAATTGATAATATTCCTACTGAACTAATTAAGGCATGCGGAGAAGCTGGAGTTTCTAAAATACATCGGTTGGTTAAAAAGATCTGGGTGAACGAGAAATTACCTGAAGAATGGAAAGAATCTATTCTTATTCCGATTCACAAAAAGGGTCCGAGGACGGATTGTAATAACTATCGAGGAATTTCACTGCTTCCGGTATGTTATAAAATATTCACTTTAATCTTAACCAGTCGAATCACGGAATACGCCGAGGAAATTATCGGAGACTACCAATGCGGATTTAGACGGAATCGTTCGACTATTGATCAAATATTTTCTTTACGGCAAATATTAGAGAAAAATTGGAGTATAACGGTATTGTTCACCAGCTGTATATAGATTTTAAAAAGGCTTACGATTCTATTGACCGCCAGAAACTGTATAATATTCTAATCGAGCAGGGGATTCCAAAAAAACTAGTAAATCTAGTCAGGATGTGCTTGACGGAGACACTCAATAAAGTTAGAATCGGTAATAATTTGTCCGAAAAATTTGAGGTTCGTTCGGGCTTAAAACAGGGGGATTCTCTTTCGCCTGTCCTGTTCAATTTGGCATTAGAACATGCCATTAGGGAGGTAATGCGAACCGAGAAAGGGTTGGATCTGGGCGGGACAACATCCGTGCTGGGCTATGCTGATGATCTGGTACTGTTAAGCGAAGACGTTGAAACTATAAAACTAAATACGACAACGTTAATGAAAGCCGGGAAAGAACTAGGACTCGAAATAAACGTGGATAAAACAAAATATATGGTTAGCTGCAAAAATGGCGATACTACTGGTGATATCGATATAGATGGTAATATGTTTGAACAGGTAGATAAATTTAGGTATCTAGGTTCTACGATAACTAGAAAAAACGAAATTGAAGAAGAGATTAAGGTTAGACTGAAGGCGGGGAATGCTTGTTATTTTTCTGTGACAAAACTACTTAGTTCGCGCCTCTTGTCCCGAAACTTAAAAATTAGAATCTATAAAACAATTATCTTACCTACAGTTCTTTATGGATGCGAGGCTTGGCCGCTTACATTAAGGGATGAGCAGCGTCTTAAGGTTTTTGAAAATAAAGTATTGCGTAGAATATTCGGACCGAAAAAGGATGAGTTAACCGGAGAGTTCAGACGGTTACACAACGCCGAATTGCGTGAGATGTATCCGGGTAATATAATTGAGGTAATTTCATCGCGGCGAATCAAATGGGCTTGTAAAGTTGTTGGGCTTAGTAACGAGAGAGTTCCTAAAAGGTTGGTATTTGCTGTGCCGAATGGTAAGCGTCCGAGGGGTAGACCGAAGCGAAGATGGGAAGATTGCATTAAAGCCGATCTGAAGGGACTGGGTTTGGACGGCGAACGGTGGAGGGAGGTGTGTAACAAGCGACCGGTGGTGTCGGCATCGAACCTTCGGGTTCGCTAAGCCTTATTATTATTATTATTATTATTGTGTGTAGCAACTATTTTGCAGTATTAGGACCTTATTGCTCATATTAAGTCTTCCTATATCTGTACAGTTATGTAAATACCTCTTTTATCCCTTATTTTTTAGTTTTTTTTTTTTTTTTTTTTTTTTTTTTGTTTGTTTGTTTTTGTTTATTGTAATATACATTTTGGCCAGATGTGATGTTAATTTTATGTACAATATTGTTATTCTCAAGGGACGTAGTCCCAGAATAAAGTTGATTCTTCTATTCTATTCTATTCTAATATAATATAGTGTTTCACTATTTAAGTAATTTCCACATTGGGCCAAATGGGAAACTCCTATATGGTATAAGTTGCATAGTCCGTGATTTGATCTCAATCTATAGTATATTTTTATTTGCTCTTTATTCAGATTAGTTGTTGAAAACCATGGTCTGCGTAGAATGTCTGTAAATATTGATTTGTAATACTGGCCTGTTAAAGTGTGATGGTATTGTTCTTGTCAAGTGTTCCTACAATCTTCTTTGATGGTTAAATAAAAATCAGGATATGGGACCGAAATGTTCACTGTCTCGCCTGTGTAAATAGCCTCTTTTGCCAATTATCAAATTTTTCATTTTCTGGGATCCCTATGTGTTCTTTAACAACCCATATGGACACCACTTGTTTTTCTTTTTTTATAGATATGTTATATAATTTAATTATGTCCAATAGGATACCATTATTATTTATATTTTTATAATTATTTATGGCTTGTAAGGAGCTTAAACTATCCTAATGTTACAAATTCACTTTTTTCCGATTGGTTTATATATTTTAGAACTTCTAAAATGGCTTATAATTCTGATGTGTAGGATGAACAACCTGATGGTAATTTAAACTTTGCGAAATGATTTTATTTTGGTACATATAATGCACTGCCTGTTGCTTGGTTTATCTAGACCTGTCTGTGCAGATACAAATTTGGTGTTGAAAATTGTCTGAAAGAACACTTTTTTTTTTTTCTGATATACTGCTATGGGAGGTAGAGAATTTATTTTATTGTTTACTATTATATTGAATTTTGGAATAAGCATTGCGAAGTCAACGTATAATTGAGGTAGTGTATTATACAGATAAACAGCATTTTTTGATATTTTAGAAAACTATTGTAAATAATGGGAAGTTAAAATTACCAACTATCACAAAGTTAAAAGTATACATTACAGACTCATATAGTTTTTAACAGAACATGGACAATGCAAATTTTACTTAAAACTTATATTTGACTACATGCTACTGCGATGGACCAACTCCTCAGAGCATATATGCTGATAATATAATCAAAGTAATAGCATTGTGGCATTTGAAATGGACTGTTAAAGTTGTGAGGCATGATAACTAACAAATTCTTGAAAAGTTGATAGGTGCTGATCCATCAAAGATATAGAAAAATTCCAAAATTGGGTTTTGGTAGTGATCAGTATTAGGAATTATGAAAAGATGATTGGTGATATTCGTTAAACCTTATGCTATAGTAGCCTTTTATTATTTTTAATATTTCATTCTGACTTTATATTTCATTTGATTTTGATTTTTTAATTTGAACTGTTTATTATTTACTAAAAGAGCTACCTTTTATATTATTGATATTTAAATTTCTGAAAAAAAAATAGCAAATGTTAATTTATAAGTCCATTGTATTATAATTTTAAATTTCTTTTTTCTTAATAAAAGCTATTTTCATTTAATTCATTTTAATTTAACCTACCATTATTTTTATATTCAGGACTTGAAGGAAATGACAATCCATATGGAGTACTTAATGATATTGATTCAATGAGAATTTATGCCTCATTCAAAGATGGTGAAGGTGAAAGAGCACAAACTGAATTGCTTTTATTTTCACACTATTCTCCTTCTAATAGACATATTAAAGTTAGCACTACAACAAAAGATGCAAAGGTAAGAGAAAGCCTACTTCATTGGAAGTGCCTTTTTGTTTTTGTAGTTTGTGGTGCATTATATGTCATTTTATACCATAGTCTATATTTTCTACAAATAAACCGATTCACATGAAAATTATTAAGGATTTGGGACTCTATACCCTACACAAAATGGTATAAGCTGGACCTCTGTAAAGGAATTATCAGTAATTCAGCTTTCCAACGGTTGTACTAACATTGAATTTAAAGAAAATCTCAATAAGTTATGAATGCTTTCGTTAATGGCCGGAAAAAAAATATTCCAAGAAAATCAAGTAATAATATATCGAATTTTTGATTTCTATGGGAGTTCATATTAAAGAGTTTTAAAGGACACTAAAAACGAATCTACCTTACTTTTTCATAACTAAAATTTACTGGGAATGCATTTTGGTTTTTTTGATTTATGATGAATTTTGGTTGAAATTGGGGACCCACTGAATGTAGCACTCCTTGTTAATATTTTTAGGGAGTAATAAAGGAGTTAGATCAATTTGTTTGCATCTCTGTGTTATAAAGGTTAATAGCTATTAAAAGTTTTTTAATCTATATATGTATGTAGGAACCAAAAATTACAGTTATCTAATTAAGCTATATTAGTAGCTCATTACATTTATGTTTTATATATTTTTTTTAAATATGTTCTACATACTTTTGCAAATACTGCTTTACATAAATAATTATTTGATCTATGTTATAGGTTGGTGAATACATAATTTTTCATGTTCAAAGTAATTTTTTTATGGAATCATTTGACTATTTGGTGATGGCAAAAGGAATAATACTCCATGCAAGTCAAGAAATCATGAAAAATAACATCAGAACATTTGCTGTCACCCTTTCTGCAGAAATGGCCCCTGCTGCTACAGTTTTGGTTTATCATATTGGGAGATATGGTGATATCATAACTGATAGCCTTACATTTCCTGTTAATGGAATTTCGAGGAATAATGTAAGTGAATTCGTTGTGTTTTTTATTAATTTTTACTTTTTTGTTTACTTGTTATTCTAATTTGAGATAAGTTATTAAACATTTAACATAAAGTGTTTATTATACAGTTATTTTATAATGGTACTGAATTGAATGGATTTAGCTGCCATTATTATAATGGAAATAAATTTAGCATAATATGAGCTTAAGTATAATTACATTTAAAATTATACATGAGGTCTAATTCTTGTGTTTATCTATATTAATTATTTTATTTGTATGTGCACCTTTTTTTTTTTTTTTTTGGTCCATATGTATTATTGTTATAATATTAACTTACAACCTAGACAAAGAAAAATATAAAGCTTAAAATAGAATTTATCCAAAAATTAATTAAAGTATAAATTTAAATTTTTTTGAGAAATAAAAATATGATAGTAATTAATGGTCAAATAAAAGTGCACACTTCCTAAATTATATTATTTTAAAAATGAACTTTATAATAGTTAAGAGATTAATATCTAATGGTATCTCCTCTTTTGTCTACCACCATCAGTAATCTTTTATTCATTGACCAACAGAGATTTTTAGGCAAATCAGGTTTTTCAGTTTTTATTTTTTCTCGTGCTGTTAAATTTTCTTCCACAGTTCCACATAACTATGAAAAACTCTGCAGTGGTTAACTTCCTTAGACAGGTGTTTTCAGTAGTTTTTAATAGGGTTTAGGTCTGGTGACGTGGTGACCACTCCAAAATATTCCCTGAAAACCAGCTTTAGTATATCGAGACACATGGCAAGGGGCATAGTCATGTAAAAAATAATAATCTCCACTCAGAAAAACACGATCAAGCCATGATTGTATGGTTTCTTGGATAAGTTTTGCATAAGTCACTGTTCATCCGCATGTGGACTTGCAACAAAAGGTTACTTCCAGATGCAATTATTGTTTCCCAAACCATCTCCCCCACATCAATTTTGACGTTTATTCTTGTTGAACCACATTCTACAAAGTAATATTCATTATCAGAGCCTACCTCTCTTCTTTTTTTGCTCGTCATTAATCTGTTTAAAATATTTTCCGAACTGGGGAAAATGGGATTTTATAATTTAATGAAGGAATTGGTACAGAAGGTATTTAAATGAGGACAAGGAAAGAGGGTGGCAGATATCAGATGGCAGGAAATTCCAGAAGGCAGTGGATCGAGCAATAAAGAAATGTTCAAATGTTTTAGTTCTGTGGGAAGGGGTATAAAGGTCAGAAACATACAAACTTGTTTTCTGGGAGTGGATTACGGGTTTGAACAGTAGGAGACTGTAGATGTAGGAAGGGAGCGAGGGTTGATCATTTGGAACAGGTTAGGTCCAAGTAAATATTGTCAGCAGAAAGAAGAGAAGAGCCACTTTAATTCATCATATAGGTGGGACACATGAGACCGCCCTGAAGTTCTGAAGACAAATCTTTAGAAGCAGTTCAACCTGTCCTCGAGTACCATCGGGATGCCACTATACACCACACAGCCATAGTCAAAGTGGGGAAAAATAAGTGAGGATACAAGTAGCTTGCGGATAGGTTGTGGTAGGTTGTGGGGGTAGATGCTAGATGTAGAGTAAATAGTTTAGAGTCTTATAGGTATTTGGGATTAACCTAATCTTTCCAGAGGTTTGGAAAGGTCAGAGAGAATGGAGATTTGGCAGTAGTCTTTAGGAGAAGTAGGATTGGAGATTTTGTTATAATAGGTCTGACTAATACTTTTTTCCAATAGGTAGGAAACACGTGAGTTCTGGAGGGAGAAATTATAGATGAAAAGGACAGGAAGGCATAATTTTAAAAGTTTGACGGGTATTCCATCAAATCCGGCTAAGTTGGTATGGAATTTCATATTTGGAGGAAATAATGCCAGTTAGTGAAATTTGGATGAAATAAAAATTATCACTCTTGAATGAGGATGATAATAAGAACTGGTGAGATGGTAGATATTGTTGGTGGGAGAGATATTTAGTAGGAATTTAATTCATCTGGTGAAACCAGGTAGACTGATTAGGAAAAGGATTTGCAACGACAGTGTTTATGAAGAATTAGCCATATTGATTTGGAATCAGGAGAAGAGAGGTGCAGGAATAGATTTCATTCCAATTTAGGGTTTTGAGGTCAGGTAGGATTTTATCACAAATTAAGGTATCAAGGTTGCGGAAAGTTACGGTTTTAGAAAGAAATGCAGGGGTTTGGATATTGTATGATAATTGGATGAAATCATGAGGAAAAAAAACGGGTAATTGAGAAGAGGAAAAAAGTTATATATTTTTATTATTTGACGCAAAACAGCCCTGAAGAACTACGCGACTATGATACTGGTTTCTTTTTCAATTCTTCCTTCCTCCTGGACGGAAGTTCCTTACTGTCCACCACATGCACCGCACTTTTCAGGAATTTCTTGTATTCTGTCCTATCCTCACATAATTCCCGTGTTATCCCAAGCCTCTGTGTTTCCTGTTTTATTTGTACCGTATATCCATGGTTAAATTTGTATCCCATAACCCTACTGAAAATCTTCTTTTTTAACAAATCCTCGGTCATCCTTTGCATGTGTCCATAAAATCTAAGTCTTCTTACCCTCATTTTTGTTTCCAAATCAGAGGTTTCACTGTAAATCTCCTTATTGGATTTCAGTCTGTATCCTTCTGGTGTTATTTTGGGCCCATGGATTCTTCTAAGAATCCTTCTTTCTATTTTCAGCAGTTTCTCCAAACTGGGAAAGAACATTGTCTCCGTTCCATACAGTATCACTGGCTTTACCACTGTATTGTAGTGCCTGATTTTGGAATTTTTGGAAAGGCATTTTTTATTATAAATGCTACTCGTTAAGTAGCATAATTTCTCCAAATTTTTTATCCTGTACTCCATGATTTTTTTTTCCGATAAATTTCTGCTGATTATTTCGCCCAGGTATTTAAAGCTTTTAATCACCTTGATTTTACTGAATTCTGTTTTTATTTATGTCTTCCTAAAGTTGGGGTTTTTGGTCATAAGTTTAGTCTTCTGGAAGCAGATTTTAAGCTCAGTTTTCTCAGCTATTTTTTTTAAGTGAAATTATCTGTCTAATCGCCTCTTTCTCCGACTCTGCCACCCACGTGGTCTCTTGCCTAATACTCAGGCATTCATTGTTGTGTAAAGGCGTCCTGATGGATTGCTTCAAGCTACATGCCCTGCCCATCTTAACCTCCTTGCCTTCATATCAGGTGCTATTGACTGACCAGTTTCTTTTAGCAGTTCTTTATTGTTCCTTCTCCTCCATGTGTTAAGGTTCTGATCCCAGTTAGGTCCTGTTGTCGTATGGAGGACTTTTCTTTCGAATCTCAATTCTGGCTTCTAGTGTCTCAGTCTTACAGCAGAACTGGTTTTATCACGGTGTTGTATATCCTTAGTTTTAGATTTCTGGAAATTTTTCTGGATTTCAGTCCCCTTTGAAAGGGAGAGCTAAGCTCTGTTCGCACTAGTTATTTGCTGGTCCATCTCTGTTAGTTGATCATTTATTGAAGTTATTGTGGAGCCGAGGTATTTGAATCTGTCTATTTATGTGAATGACTTAGAGTCCACGCAGATCATGGTGTTAAGTTGAATTTTTTGGCTATCGTATATTTTTTTTAATCTTCATTGTCTTGTAGTCTGATTTGCTCTTCTTCTCTTAACAGAGTCCGAGCTAGTCTCTCAATATCCTTTTCATTACTGCTAAGGACAGCTATTTCATCTGCATATACAAGGATTTTATGTTTCATTCCAACATGCACGCCTCCATCTTCGCATGATCTTGTTCTTGTTACTTTCTCTAGGGCTAAGCTGAACAGTATCGGCGAGAGTCCATCTCCCTGCCTCAAACCCGTTAGAACTTCATAGGCTACAAATACTTCTTGTATTAGTACCCTGCATTTAGGATCATTTGTACATGTCTTCGTCAACCTCACTAACTGCCCGGGAAAACCCAGCTCAGTCAGGATCTTACAAAGTCAGTTTCTGTCCATGAAATCATAGGCTGCTTAAAAGTTGACAAATAAGGCTTGTTTGTCCTGATCTGCTTCCCATCGTTTTTCGAGTACTTATTTTAGAATGAATATCTGGTCTAGCATACTCCTTCCTCTCCTGAATCCTGATTGGTCGTCGCTAAATATGCTTTCATAATACCGATATATCCGATTTAGCAGAATATTATTCATTATCTTATTTATATATATATATATATATATATATTTAAATATAGAAGAAAACCCTTTATTTGTACAGTCATTCATTATATTACATTTGTTACTTGGAGCTTTCAGTAGTCTGCAACTTGTTCATCTAAAAAAATATATATATATATTTTTTTTACTGTACAAAGAAAGGGTTTTCTTCTATATTTCAAAATAAAATACACAATCTACTTATTATACATTTTTTTTTTTTCAGTTCACACTATTTATTAATAATAAGAAAGCACGAACTGGAAAAAAAGTAGAAGTAGCTATATATGGCCAACCAGGTGCTTATGTTGGCTTGTCAGGCATAGATAAACCATTTTATTCTATGCAAGCGGGAAACGAATTGACTTATGCAAAAGTAAAAAAAATTTAAGTTCTAAAATCTTAACTCTGCATGTGCATGATTTATTAATCATATTTTTTTTTAGATATACTTCTAATTAATTAATACTATCCTCATCAATTTTATGTATTAGTGAACCTCCTTAATAAATATGCAATAATCTGTGTACATCAAAATTCCATATATCGAAAATCTCTAGTTATCTAAATTATTTAAGAATCTTGAACTTGTATTGGAAAAAATAATGTATATATTGAATACAATTTCTATATATCAAACAAAATCAAATTTAAAAAAAATAAATAAATGTACATTTAATTAAAAGTGTGATTTTCATCCAAACGGTTGAAATGGGCCCTTAGATCACATTCATAAAATTGTGTAATAATTAAATTTAAAAAAAAAAGGTTTTATTTTGCACAAAAACTGTGATTGAGACAAAGATTTTGATGTAGTTTGGAAACAAGATAAATCCTTGACGTTTGATAAATTGGTTTAGAAGTATTGAAATTTTATACCCGATAAATTGTTTCTGGTATTATTTTAGCCATAAGAAATTACTGGTTTGTATTTAGTATGAAAGGGATGAAAAATTGTCATTTTTTTATTTATCAAAATTTTCATATAACAATTTTTTTTTTCTATATGTTCAATACACAGAGTTTCAATTGTACATTTAATTCAGAAATTAATGTTAACATTACTTAGTTCCCTAAAATTTGTATATTTTTACAACTTGTGTACCAAATCCATACAATTTTACAACCATGGTTATCCTTTCTAGTTGTGACAGACATCACTGTTTAAGTAGGAAAGCCAGTAGCCCTGTAAATTAATGATTATAGAGAGAAATGAAAGGAACAGAATATTATAGTTTGGTCTAATTAGGAGGTAGACGTAATAAAAGTCCACTCCTAGGTAGTGAATGAAATGTTAAGAGCATCCAGTAGGATGCCAAGATAGCCATTCATAAAAAAAAAAAAAATATATATATATATATATATATATATATATATGACTATCAAGCGTTTAAAGTGCTCCGCAATTTGACACAAACAAGAATTCGGCGAGCTAAAGCTTCCTACTTCCATGAAGCCCTGTCATCTGCCCCAGATCCCAAATCTAAATGGCTAATCCTTCGCAAACTTTCCCTCTGTGAACCTTCCAGATCCCCTTCCTCACTGTTCTTTTCCGTTTCATCTGACGATTTAAATTCACATTTTATTTCTGCCTCCTCTACCTCTTCTCTTCCCTCCTCTTCCAACTTTGCTCCTGAGTCATCATTTAATGATGATAACTTTTATTTCTCCTACATTTCCCCGACTGACTTACTAACCGCAGTAATGAAATCCCACACCAATTCCATAGGACCAGATGGCATTCCTGTCAAATTGATAAAATTATGTCTCCCCGAAATCCTCCCAGTTCTCCTTTTCATTTACAATTTCTCCCTACAGAACTCAATATTCCCTTCCTCTTGGAAAAAAACCATTGTACTCCCTTTGAATAAAAAGCCTAATCCATCCTCTCCCGAAGACTTTCGCCCAATCTCAATTCTTTCCAATCTCTCAAAACCCCTAGAAAGATTGATGCAATCCCAACTTTCCAATTTCCTCGAAAAGTCCAACCAACTTGATCCTCTCCAATCTGGTTTCGTCCCGGCTACTCCACACAATCCGCCTTAATCAAAATTACCAATGATGTTCAGACTGCAATAGATAATAAACAACTAACTGTCTTTATACTTCTTGACTTCTCTAAAGCCTTCGATTCCATTAACCATCCCATCCTTTTCAACAAACTAAAATCACTCTCCTTCTCCAATAGCTCCATCTCTTGGTTCCAATCTTTTCTATCACAACGCACCCAAGCAGTCTCCATTCCTAATCAACCACTATCTGCCTACCTGCCTTTATCCTCTGGAGTTGCCCAAGGATCTAGCATATCTCCTCTCCTTTTTAGTTCCTATATTAATGACCTCCATGACTCAATTCTCCATTGTTCCCACCACCTTTATGCAGACGATTCTCAAATATACCTATCCTTTTCTCCCCCTGAGCTATTGGTAGCATTTACTAAGATCCAAGCAGACCTAGATCGAATCTGTGCCTGGGCAAACTTAAACAGAGGGCGTATACTAGGAGTCTACGTGTGGATATGGGTAGGAGATCGGAAGCGATGGAAGAGTTTCAGGATGGAAATTGAACGTCGGGATATGAGGGAAATATGGTGATTCCAGGAGAGGGTTTGATCTATGATAACACCTAAGTTTTTAACTGAAGTGTTGAAGGTGATGGGTTGGTCATTCAGGTACAGGAGAGGAATGTTGGTATTTGATCTGAGAAGGGGTTTGGAACCGATGACAATGGCTTGGGTTTTTGCAGTGTTTAACCTTAATCCATTTTCACTTGCCCAGGCACAAATCTGATTTAGGTCTTCTTGTATTTTGGCAAACCCATCATGCCATTCAGAGGGAGCAAAGGAGAGGTAAATTTGGGAATCATTGGCATAAAGGTGATGTGAACAGTGAAGGATTGATTTATGAAGGTCGTTAATATATGAACTAAAAAGGAGAGGAGATATGCTGGAGCCCTGTGCCACTCCTGAGGACAGAGTTAGATAGAATGATAAAGGTTGGTTCAGGATAGAGACTGCTTGAGTACGTTGAGAGAGGAATGATTGAAACCAAAGGATAGAGCTGTTGGAAAAGGATAACGATTTCAATTTGGAGAAAAGGATGGAATGGTTAATGGTATCAAAGGCTTTGGAAAAGTCTAGGAGGATAAGGACAGTTATTTTTTTATCATCTATGGCCAACTGAACATCACTAACGATTTTGATTAGGGCGGATTGTGTGGAGTAGCCTGGTCGAAAACCAGACTGGTAAGGGTCAAGTTAATTGGACTGTTCTAGGAAGTTGGAAACTTGGGATTGGACTATTCGTTCTAGAGGTTTTACAAGGTTAGACAGGATTGAGATTGGACGGTAATCTTCAGGGGAAGAAGGGTTAGGATTTTCAAGTAAAGGACGGACAATGGCTTTTTTCCATGAGGAAGGGAATATTGCGTTCTGAAGGGAGAAATTGTAGATGAAAAGTAGAGCGGGAAGGATTTCAGGTAGGCATAATTTGATTAATTTGACGGGAATACTATCTGGACCAATGGAATTGGAATGAGATTTCATCACGGCGGATATGAGGTCTGTAGGAGAAATATCTGAAAAATAAAAGTTGTCGTCGTTAAATGATATTCCAGGAGTAAAGAGGAAAGAGTTTGATGGAGGAATGCAGGAGGAAGCTGATATAAAATATGAATTTAAATCATCAGGTTTGATTGGAAAGACTGCTGCGGAAAATGATCTGGAAGAATCACAGAGGGAGAGTTTACGAAGGAGTTACCATTTGGCTCTTCGGATTTTGGTTTTTGTCAGGTTACGGAGCACCCTAAACGCTTGGTAGTCGTCAGCGAGCCTAGTGCGTCTAAATCGTCTGCGGGCTGTATCGAGTCTCTTCTGAAGATCTTTAATTTGCTGACACATCCAGGGAGCTGGGGGGCTACGAAAGGTAGAGGTTTTGATGGGAGCATGGGAATCAAGGATATTAAGGAGGTTGGAAGTTAAAATATCAACCATAGAGTCAATACATTAACAGGAATATATCCCATTCCAATCAAGGGTTTCCAGGTAGGGTAAGATTTTTTCACGAGTGAGGACATCAATATTACGGAAAGTTATGGTTCTCGGTATGATCGGAGGAGTATGAATATTATATGAAATTTGGATTAGGTCATGAGAGGATAAAAAGGAGACCGGTACTTGTGAGGAGGAAAGGAGGTTCTGAGCGGAGTCGATAATGTAAGGGTCCAACCAGGTATCGGACCTGGGGGTGTGATGAGTAGGCGAAAAAGGAACAATGAAAAGATGGAGAGAGAAAAAAAGGTTTTCGAGGTATGATTTATCGCTGGAATCGGAAAGGAAATTAGTGTTTAGGTCTCCGGAGATGAATATTTTGGTATAAAGAGGAACAAAGTTGAAGAGGGATGATTCAAATGACGGATCAAAGGAAACAAGAGGAGGTCTATACACTACGACATAAAGGATAGGAGATGTATCAAAGGAAATTTCAGCGATTAGGAACTCTACATGTGGGTGATCGGATGGAGGAGAGCAGTGGAGTATTCGGGTCTTCAGGTATTCATGAACATACAACGCTACACCTCTGCCAGTCCGGCTCGTCCGGTCGTGGCGGATTAGTGTGTAGTTAGGAAGGGAAACAGATGAGGAAGGGATGTAAGGCTTGAGCCAGGTTTCGGAAATTGCAATGATATGGTAAAAATTATGGGTAAAGTATTCAAGGAATTCATCATAGTGGGCTGGGAGGGATTGGGAGTTGACGTGACAGGTATTAAGGATGCTAGACATGATTAGGCTTGAGGAAAATAGAGTCAGAATTTGGTGAGCAGACGCTGGACCGGATATGATACATTAGATGAAATAATGTAAAAATTAAAATATAAGAAAAAAACCCATTAAAAAGAAAAAAAAATTTGAATGCAATAATCAATAGAAATAAATTAATCAAAAAGTTCCAGTAGTAACATAACATACATTTCAGATTTTCAATGTGAGTCCTATAAACTAAGCCAAATTGTTTATCGATGTTGAGGAGTAAACAGGGATCGAAGAGTCAGCCGAAGACATCTAGGTCTTGACTCTGGTCGATAAAGACAACCTGATGACCGTCATCCTTTCGACACAGCAGTCTGCCGCCGGAGAACCATATATATTTTATTTTCCCCGCTGATTTCTTCTGCCGAGCGAGCCAGTAAAGGTACCTGTTCGTCGGGGTCATTTCCTCGCTGAGATAGATACGGTGGCAGTCATTTTCCTGCCAACCGATTTCCCGCGTCGAGAAGTCCCTTTTTACTTTTCGCTTCTACACCAGGTCGACTCTCACTGACTGCCTGACATATATATATGTATATATATATGCCTGACATATATATATATATATATAT